GGCGTGGCAGCGGTGGTGGAAGGCAATCCCTTACGGACCTCGCGGGGCCTAGATCAGAGCTCACCTTTGAGTCTGTAACCTTGGCTCTGAAGGTCTTGGGCCCTTTCTCCAAGGGTGCTTTCAGACAGTCGATTGAACATCTGTTTTTGGCTTCAAGGACAAAGAAAATGAAGGCATTGTAACAGAGGGCTTCACGGTAACATTTGACATCTGAACTGCTGTAGTCTCTTCAAAAAATGAAAATAACAGCAATCATTGGAATTTTAAAAATGCTTTTTTCGGTATTAATGTTTGTAGTGGGTTTAATTGTGTCCCCTCTCAAAAATATGTTGAAATCCAAACCCCAGTACCTGTGCACATTATCTTACGTGGAAATACAGGCATACCTCGGTGATGCTGTGGGTTTAGTTTCAGAACACCATCATAAATCAAGTCACACTAATTTTTTTGGTTTCCCAGTGCATGTAAAAATCACGTTACATAATACCGTAATCTAGTACATTTGCAGTAGTATTACATCTTTAACCATTTACATAACTTAATTTAAAAATATTTTATTCCTAAAACTTGCTACCAATCCTCTGAGCCTTCAGTGAGTCGTCGTCTTCTTGCTGTTGGAGGGTCTTGCCTCGATGTTGATGCTGACAGATCAGGGTGGTGGTTGCTGATGGTTGGGGTGGCTGTGGCAATTCCTTAAGTAAGACAATGAAGTTTGCCTCATCGCTTTTCTTTCACGGAGATTTCTCTGTAGCCTGAGATGCTGTTTGACAGCATTTTACCCCCAGTAGAACTTCTTTCAAAATTGGAGTTAATCCTCTCAAACTCTGCCACTGCTTTATCAACTAAATTTATGGAATATTATAAAGCCTTTGTTGTCATTTCAACGATGTTTGTAGTATCTTCAACAGGAGTGGATTTCATCTCCAGAAACTACTTTCTTTGCTCATCCATAAGAAGCAGCTCCTCATCTGTAAATCTTATCATGAGATGACAGTGAATGAGTCCAATCTTCAGGCTGCACTTCTAACTCCAGTTCTCTTGCTATTTCCACCACATCTGCAGTTACTTCCTCCACTGAAGTCTTGAGACTCTCAACATCATCCAAGAAGTCTGGAATCAACTTCTTCCAAACTCCTGTTAATGTTGACATTTTGACCTCCTCCCATGAATCAGGAATGTCCTTAATGTCATCTAGAATAATGAATCATTTCTGGAAGGGTTTCAATGTACTTTTCCCAGATGCATCAGAGGAATCACTATATATGACAGCTATAGCCTTACAAAATATATTTATTGAATAATAATACACAAAGGTCAAGATTACTTTTTGTTCCGTAGGCTACAGAAAGGATGTTGGGTCAGCAGGCATGGAAACAGCATTCATCTCCTCATAAATCTCTGTCACAGCTCTCAGGTGACCAGGTGCATTGTCCATGAGCAGGAATAGATTGAAAGGAATCTTTTATTCTGAGCAGAAGGTCTCAACAGTGGGCTTAAAATCTTCAGTAAACTCTGCTATAACCTTATGTGCTGTCATCTGGGCTTTTCTGAGCAGAAGGTCTCAACAGTGGGCTTAAAATCTTCAGTAAACCCTGCTATAACCATATGTGCTGTCATCTGGGCTTTGTTGTTCTACTTGTAGAGCAGAGGCAGAGTAGATTTAGCATCATTCCTAAGACGCCTAGGAGTTTTGAAATGATAAATGAGCATTGATTTCAATTGAAAGTCATCAGCTGCATTAGCCTCTAACAAGAGTCAGCCTGTCCTTTGAATCTTTGAAGCCAGACATTGACTTCTCCTTTCTAGCTGTGAAAGCCCTAGATAACATCTTCTTCAAATAGAAGGCTGTTTTTTATTTCGACATTGAAAGTATTTTGTTTAGCATAGCCACCTTCATCAATGATCTTAGCTGGATCTCCTGAAGAACTTGCCACAGCTTCTCCATCAGCACCTGCTGCTTCTTGCGCTTTTGTGGTATGGAGATGGCTTCTTTCCTTCAACCTCATGAAGTAGCCTCTGCTAGCTGCAAGCTTTTCTTCTGCAGCTTCCTCATCTCTCAGCCTTCATGGAATTGAAGAAAATGAGGACCTTGCTTGGGAACAGACTTTGCATTAAGGGAATGCTATGGGTGGTTTGATATTCCATCTAGATCACTCGAACCTTCTCCATATCAGCAATAAGGATGTTTCATTTTTGTATTATTTGTGTGTTCGCTGGAGGAGTACTTACGATTTTTTTCCCAAGAACTTTTTCTTTGTATTCACAGCTTGGCTAACTGATGCAAAAGGCTTCACTTTTAGCCTGTCTTGGCGTTCAACATGCCTCCTTCATCAAGCTTACTTGTCTCTAGCTTTTGTTTTAAAGTTAGAGACTTATCCCTTCCCTTGAACACTAGATGTTATTGTAGGGTTATTAATTGGCCTATTTTTAATAGTGTTGTGTCTTAGGAAATAAGGAGGACTGAGGAGAGGGAGAGAGATGGGGAGTGTCACATGGGTGGAGCAGTTAGAACATACAAAAGACTTATGGATTAAGATTTCCATCTTATATGAGCATGCTTTGTGGTGCCCCCAAATTGGAATAATAACATCAAAGATCACTGATCACAGATCAGCATAACATATGTACCATGAATGAATTCATATGAAATATGTAGAGAATTACTGAAATGTGGCACAGACACATGAAATGAGCAGCTGCCCCTGGAAAAACTTGATGCAAAGTTGCCACAAACATTTAATTTAAAAAAACAAACAAACTCAGTATCTGTGAAGTGCAGAAAAGAGCAACAAAATGAGATATACCTGTAGGATCTTTGCAAATGTGATTGATATGGTCTGGCTCTGTGTCCCCATAACCTAAATTGTAATGCCCACATGTTGGGGAAGAGACCTCGTCGGGGGTGACTGGATCATGGGTGAATGAGTTCTCATGAGAGCTGATGGTTTTACAGGGGGCTTTTCCCCCTTTGCTCTGCTCTTTCTCTCCTGTTGCTTTGTGAAGAAGGACATGTTGCTTTCCCGTCTGCCATAATTTTAAGTTCCCTGAGGCCTCCCCAGCCATGCAGAACTGTGAGTCTATTGAACTTCTCTTCTTTATAAAAGACCCACCCTCAGGAAATTCTTTATAGCAGTGTGAAAATGAACTAATACAGTGATCCAGTTAAGATAAGGGTCCACTGGATGTGTGTCCTTATAAGAAAAACGAGAGGATTTTGGGGCAGGGAGACACAAAGGAGCCATGAGGGGGAGGCCACATGGGATAGAGGCAAAAATGGGAGTGATGCGTGTACAAGCCAAGGAATGTGGAGGTTTGCCATCAATGACTCCTAGGAAAGGATCCGCCCCATCAGCCTTTGGAGAGAACATGGCACTGTCCACACCTTGATTTTGGACTTCTGGCCTCCAGAACTATGAAAGAAAAAATTCCATTGTTTTAAGGCACCCAGTTTGTGGTACAGCAGCCCTAGGAAACTGATACAATAGCACACGTATTTTACCTAAAAAGGACCAGGGCTATTACATTTTCCCCAAATCCAATGATTTGAAAGCCACCCCATTTTTTTTCTGTCAGCATTATCATTGATTGCTGTTTACAGTGATAGGGATTTAGGGGGAAACATCCGTGAGATGCGCTTGTTTAAGGGGACACTAGAATCCCGACTGGAGGTTTTAAGACAGCTCTACTTCCTTCATTACTCAGAACAATTTATTGAGTATCTACCCTGTGCCAGGCATTATGCTTTCGCTGGGATGAGAGTGGAAAATAGCAAGTGGTCCTTTTCAAGCTTGTACAGAAGAAAGCAAGTAAAAAGTTAAATATAACATGATGACTGCCTGATGGGCACATGACACATGCGCAGAGCCCAGCAAAACCTTCAGGAGGAAGCAGGGGCTGCTCTGAACTCTGAAAAGCAGGATATGCCAGAGCTGGCCAAGAGAGGTCTCCGTGAACGTGTGTATGTGTGCACACTCAGAAGCATGCGCTCCTGGGATCAGGGCTGGCTTGGGTGTGGGTGGACAAGCAGGGTAGCTGCTGGAGGGAGGGTGACCTCACCAGATTTCTCTGGATTATTTCATGAGCTTAGCAACATTGTCCCCAGCCCTGGTAACCACCACCAATCCCAGCCCTGGTAACCACCACCACCCCCAGCCCTGGTAACCACCACTGCCCCCAGCCCTGGTAAACACCACCACCCCAGTCCTTGTAGCCACCACCATCCCCAGCCCTGGTAACCACAATGGCCCCCAGCCCTGGTAACCACCACCGTCCCCAGCCCTGGTAACCACCACCGTCCCCAGCCCTGGTAACCACCACCGCCCCCAGCCCTGGTAACCACCACTGTCCCCCAGCCCTGGTAACCACCACCACCTCCAGCCCTGGTGACCACCACCGCCCCAGCCCTGGTAACCACCACCACCTCCAGCCCTGGTGACCACCACCGCCCCAGCCCTGGTAACCACCACTGTCCCCCAGCCCTGGTAACCACCACCGCCTCCAGCCCTGGTGACCACCACCGCCCCAGCCCTGGTGACCACCACCATCCCCAGACCTAGTAACCACCACCATCCCCAGACCTAGTAACCACCACCTCCCCCCAGCCCTGGTAACTACAACTGCCCCCAGACCTGGTAACCACCACCCCCCCCGGACCTGATAACCACTGCTACCCCGAGCTCTGGTAACAACCACTGTCTCCAGACCTATTAACCACCACTGTACCCAGCCCTGGTAAACACCACTTCCTTCCAGCCCTAGTAACCACCACCGTCCCCCAGTCCTAGAAACCTCCACTGCCCCCAGCCCTGGTAACCACCATTCCACTCTTTTCAGCATGATGCTCTTGATACTCAACATCCATCCACGCTTCTGTGTGCATCAACAGTTTCTTTTTATTTTTTTGACTGGTTAGTGTTGCGCTGTGTATGTATTCATCTATTTAAGAAAATTCGGGTTGTTTCCAGTGTTTTGCAATGAGAAAGAAAGATGCTACCAACATGTTTGTGCGTATTTTTGTGAACATTTATTTAGGAAAATATCTAGGAGTGGTATTGATGAGTCACACGGGAAGTACATGCCTCATGTGGCAAGAACCACCCTTCTGCTTTGCAGAGTGGCTGTGCCATTCTGCATTTCCGCACACGACTCTTGAGAGTTCCAGATTCTTCATATCCTCCTCAACAGTGGTGGTTCTTGCTTTACTTTTGGCTACTGTGGCTTAATTAAATAGCACCAGTCCTCCAATGACATGGTTTCTATTTCAGCTACCATGGTGTATTAATTGTGAGCATTCTATAAAGTACAAACTTTGCTCCAGAACCCTCTGTCCTCAAATCACTGGTGAGTAACAGCTGGGCGTCATGGTCAGCCTCCCATCTCCAGAATCCTCTGTCCTCAAATCACTGGTGAGTAACAGCTGGGCGTCGTGGTCAGCCTCCCACCACAGCACATCTTGGGAATCTGTTGGTGGCAGGTCCCTGCAAGTCTCCCTTTGGATTTCCAGACAGCAGAGCCTCTGGCCATGCTGCCTCCCTGTCTCCCAGGGCTACACACCTGAAGCTTTGCAAAAACAAATATGAGAAAGAGAAAACTGGCCAAAAAAGTTACAAGTACAACTTTTGAAATGAAATAATATGGAAAGTGCAATTTCAATAGAAGGTAAGTGGAGTTACAGAAAGTAGAAGGGCCGGCCATGGAGATGTGGCACTACGGTCATCGGAAGCGTCACAGACTTGCGGCCAGAGGAGCCCTGGGATGGCAAAGTCACAGATGGGGACAAAAATAATAAACACATCTTCAAGGAAGGGGCACCAGTGAATACATCGCCTCAAAGGGCCTCTCAGAGAAATGTCATGCCACGGAAAGCAAATGATAAACATTTGAGGTTGATCAAACCTAGAGCAGAGCTCGGCAATTCATCTCGGCATGGAAGAGAAGCCAGCTCTGTTTCGTAATTTTACAAAAAGAAGATGCAAGTCCTGTTCAAAGTACTTTTGACACACTTTTTACAAATAAGCCAAATAGTGTAGTTATCAATGTTCTGTTTTAAATTGCAGCATTCTACATAAATATTAGCTTCATTTTTTTCATGTTTTGATGCATTTAACACCAACGCCAACACTAAGTTTTTAAGATTTTGAGAAAAAATGCTTAAAGGTCACTAAACAATCTTAATTTTCTCTGATGAGTAAGGCCGCTTGGCTTAGTTCCAACTTGCACAGTCCTTTTTTACGATCCTGTCTTACTAAGGAAGGTCAGGTCTGCCTCTGCTTGCAATGGTCAGATTTGATTTTTGATGTTCTTTTAATTTTTGTCACTCTAACAAGTGTGTGGTGTACTTCATTAGGATTTTAATTTGAATCTCTTAATGGCTAACATGGTAAGCACATGTTCATATGTTAATTTGGTGTTCACATGCTTATTTGCCATCTGTATATCTTCTTTGCTGAAGTGTCTGTTCAGATTCTCAGCCCAATCTTAATCTTTTTCTTACTGCTGAATTTTCAGTGTTCTTTATATATCGTGGATATTCAAGTTCCTTGTCCGACACTGTATTGTCAAGAACTACGAAGATATGCAAGCTTTTCTTATTAACAAGCTACCATGTTAGCCTGCCAGGTGGATGGATATTGGAAGGCAACTCATAAGTAAGAGACAAATGACTTTATTACTCATGACTCAGCAAGCAGCAAGAGCTTGTGTTCACGCCAGCTCCCTTGTTCCTCCATCACACAGGGGTGATTACTGGGGTGCAGGTGGGTACTCATGCACAAGTGGGTTTGTGTCTGAGGAACCCCACCTTCACAAACTAGAATATTTTTTATAGTGATAAGCTAGGAGACCTTCTCTTTCTCTCAGAGGAAGACATCGTTTTTATCAGATTAGGAAGTAATCATATCTGTCTTTTGCTCTGCAGGGAGCAATGTACTGCATTCCAAAGCTGTTTGCTGGAAGGTACCTCTGCTTACAAGATGTGCAGAATAGAGATCCATGACAAAGTCTCCCAACACTGTCAAACTTTAGAAAATTGGAATGCAGTCTAATTTATCATTATTTTCTTTCTTATCGTTTTATTTGTACAGTTGTCTAGAACTTTGTCATTTTATAAATCTTTTCAAAAATCAACTTTAAGTTACATTGATTTTTTCTAATAACTTTTAATTTTCAATTTCATTGATTTTTGCTCTTATCTGTATTATTTCCTTTCTTCTGCTTGTTCTGGGTTTATTTCACTCTGTATAGTATCATAAGGTGGAAGCTTGTAGTATGGATTTGATAACTTCCTTTCTAATCTAGGCATCAAATGATATAAAGTTCCCTTAAATCCCTGCTTTAGCTGCAAACCATTCTTTCTTTTAATTTTTTTCCACTTAGTTCAAAATATTTTACAATTTTTTCTCCACTTCAACCTATGAGTTATTTAGAAATACACTGTTTAATTTCCAAATATTTGTGTATTTCCTAGTTATCATTCTCATATTAATATCTAGTTTAATTTTACTATGGTCAGAGAATACAGTTGAAATAATTTCAATAATTTTTAATTTGCAAAGGTTTGTTCTATGACCCAGAATATGACCTGTCATGGTGAATGTTCTATGTGCATTTGGAAAGAACATGTGTTCTGCTGTTGTTGGTTGGAGTGTTCTACTAAAATCGAGTGGGTCCACTTAGTTAATGGTGATTTTCTAGTATTCATCCTGATTTTCTGTCTACTTGTTCTATTGATTTCTGAGAAAGACCTATTAATGTCTCCAGTTGTAATTGTGGACTTGTAATTCTCCTTGTATTGTAATTCTTCTTTAGTTCCGTAAATGTTTACTTCATGTATTTGAGTCTCTTCCGTTAGGCACAAACATATTTCGGATGGTTATATCTTCTTGGTGAACAGAGACTGCCGCCACTTTGTAAAATCTGTCTTTTTCCTTCTTTGCTCTGAAGTTGGCTTTTTCTGAAATTAATAGAGTCACACCAGTTTTCTTCTGATACATGTTTGCATGGTATATCTTCATTTCATCCTTTTACTTTTATTACTAAAATATATTATACTTTAAAGGTGGGTTTATTATAAATAGCATGGAGCTTGATTATTAAAAATTCAAGATGTATTGAATTGTCAATATGATAATTTCTGTAAATTTAGTTGGTGTGTTTAGAACATTTCCACTTAATGTAAACATTGGTATGTTTGGATCTAAGTCGATTATCATTTTTTATCTTTGCCCTCTCTACTTTTCATTCTTCTCTCCCTGTCTTTCTGCCTTTTTTTTTAGGTTTTTTGAATACTTTCAGTCTTTAATCTTATCTATTTACTTTTTGATAAAAATCTCTTTGAATGTATGTTTTCAGCAGAGTAAAGTTTCTCAACACTTATTAAGAAACTACCTAAGAAGGACAATATTTCAAGAAAGTTTGTTTAATTGGCTTACTGCTAATGAAAAATGATTATATGAAAATTTTTATTTTGTTGAAAACAATTATTTTATTGAATAATAATTAAATTTAGTTGTCTATTATATTTTCTAACTTTTAATGATATAAGTATCATTGCACGTTTTTTGATTTGTTATTATGAACGTATATGCATGAAATAGACAATAATATGCCATTTTGTGGAAAAATCTGATCCCATCTTAGATGTAAAACAGTAAGTCTTTCCTTATTAAATAGGAGGTTAGGTGTAGATTTTTCCCAGCTTGCCAATTTGAGGTAATTCTCTCCTAGTCCAATCTCACTGAGTGCTCTTTTTAGCATGTTAGGTTTTGTAAACAAAATTGATGCAAAAAATCCTTTTTTTCTGCATCAATTGATATGATTATGATCATATAATTTTTTTCTTTTGCATGTTTTTATGGTGTGTTACCAGAAAAATATTTTATGGTCAATTATTGATAATCAATTTATGGATTATTGAATATTCCACTAGCCTGGCATATCTGAAATAAAATCTATTTTGTCATGTTACGTAAGTTTTTCTTTTTGTCTTATTGTTGAATTTAGTTTGCTAATATTTTGATGAGGAGTTTGCATCTAAATTCATGACAGACAGATATTGGTTTGTAGGAGGTTTTTTGTGCTGTATTTATCTGGATTTGGCCTCAGGGTAATACTAGCTTCATAAAATGAGTTGGGAATTGTTCCCCCTTCTTGAATCTTTGGAACAGATTGTGTTCCATGTGTTACTTCTATAAGTGGTTGATAGAATTGTCCAGTGAAATCATCTGAGCCTGGGAATTTCTTTTCCAGGAGCTTTTAAAATATGAATTTAATTTCTTGAATAATGATTGGGCTGTTGTAGTGTCTCTCCGTCTGTAGTTTAGGTCTGTGTATGTGGGTCACATGAAGGGTTCTGTGTATTTGGATCAGGTCCTGCTGATTGGTTGTGTTGTTCACGTTTTCTGTGTCCTGAATGCTCTCCTGGCCTGCCATTCTCACAATTCCTGAGAGGGGCTTATGAAGTTCCCCAACTAAAACTGTGGATTTGTCTCTTTCTCCTTTCCAGCTTGACAAGTTTTAGCTTTGTGTGTGTTTAGATTCTATTGTTTGGTGTATACAAAAAAGGACTGCTATGTCTTTGCAATGCCTCATGTAATTTTCCTTTTTCTGAAGTCTTCTTTATCAGATCTTTATGTATACACTCCTTCTTTTTAAAATTATCTTTTTTCTATTATTTTCCTTCAATGTACTTATGTCATTAAATTTTAAGTGAGTTTATTATAAACAGCATATTTTTGGGGTCATTTTTTTTGTACACTGTGCCAAATTCTGCTTTTGATTGGTGTATTTCAACCATTTATTTTTAAGGTAATCATTTATATTTTAGGGCTAAAGTCGGCAATATTGTGATGTGTTATTTATTCCCCCATTTCTCCTTTTTATGTTATTTCATTACATTTTTTCCTTTCTCTGGATTACATGAATGTTATCTGGGGTTCCTAATTTATGGATTTATAGTGCCTGTGAGTTACCTTCTCACTTGGTTTTCCCGGCGGTTTCTCCGGTATCCATGTGTGGCTGTCCCAGCCTGCTGGCACCAACGTGCTGCCCTGAACTCAAAGCAGCTGCATCATGGCTGCTTGTCATTCTTCTGTTAGCTCAGCACACGAGCCCAGCATTGGTGCATCTCAGTGTTGGCATCAGCTGATTCTCTTGTTTCTTTCAAGTTGTGATTTTCTTGGTTCTTGGTGCAATGGAGCTTTTAGGTGGTGTGCTGGCTGCTTTTCATGGTGTCAGCTGACTCTGCGTCCTGTTAATTGTCTGGCACAGCAGGAGACTCTCTGCCTTGGCTGGGTGCAGCTCCTGGCCTGCTCTGAGGACCGTGCCTCTGTGTCTGGAAGCCTGGCACTGATGCTTTGCTCTCCTTCATTTTCCTCCTGCCACCAGGGCTTCCATGCGTCAGGCCTGAGAGAGCCTCTGGAGCCTGCAGGCCCATGGGACATGATCATACATAGCATGTTGTCACAAGCCCTGAACTATTGTCTAAGAAAGGGGAAGGCCTTGGCCGTGGACACACCCTCAGCCCATCTCCGTGGAGCAGTCACTCACATGTGTCTCAAGCCTGGTCACTGTCAAGGCATCAGACCTTCCTATAACCAGAAGCAGTTCTTACTCTTGCCAGGGACAGCAGCCTTGCCATTTATGTGACCTAATTTTCATTAAGTATTTAGTTGTAAGAAATCATATTTATGGAAGTTACTATGAAAATCACACAATCCATTTACTATCACTCAATTTAGTAATATACTGTGGGCATATTATTTCCTGACACCTCCCTAAAACTTACGGGGTCATTATCATAATCACAATTTTATCAAAAAGAAAGTGAATATTAAGTGGTTAAATACCAGTTATAGGGTTCTAGGCAAATTAGGAGTTTTAATCCTGGCTCTCTGAATCCAAATTCTACATCTTTAACACTATACTACACTGTGGAAACAAATTGTTTTTCTTTTATTTCTTAAAATAATGTTTGTTCTCTCTACTACTAAAAATAATGTATACAGTTTAACCAAAGCATAGTGGTACAATGCATATTTATATAAATAATTATACCACAAAAACAGCTAAAATAAACAAAAGGATGTTACAATGTGGAAATCTAAAAGTAGCCATTCTGAAACTATGGAATGACCCATCTTTGACAAATATCTTGTTCTGGGTAGAAATATTTATTACACAATTGGTTTACAAATAGGCAACATCCTTTGAAATGAGGGAAAGGAGACAGGTGTTTACTCCTGCTCTCTTCTACCCTGACAGCGAGGCCCGGGGCCGTGGAGAGCACCATCCAGGGACCCCCAGGGGTCCCAGACTTCTGGGAGCAGAGTATATGTAGATGGAGGGGGGCAAAAGAGAAAGTGGAGGAATACCGCTAAGTGGGCTAAGTAAAAGTGGTAGAGAAAATTACTTTTATGTAAAACACAATATGCATGCTTAGAAGAAACAAAAAGCAGTTCTATTCACATCAGAAGCAAGATGAGTTTTCCCCCTTCTTTTACTATTTTTAACTTTCTTGTGGAAGTGCCGGCCAATGAAATCCTTTAAGATAAAAGTACTAAGGTCATAAATATTAATGAAGGAGAATCATTAAGTAATTTTTCAGATATTTTTAATAGAAAATCATCAGATGCTTTTTCAAATGTGTGTGGAAGAAAATACTTGATTACCAATAGGAAATCATATGTGTGTATGACGCCACACACAAACGTATTTATATACGTGAGTTCAGTAGTGATGGTGTCAAAAATGGACAGGCAAAAAAATGGTTATATACAAAAACAGATAGAAGGATGATAAAGAGACAGCATACAATATTACACAAGTAGATATTCTATAATTATGTTTATATAATACATATTGTATATAGAGTTTTACATAGGGAAAAACATACACAATTAAAAACCACCAGAAACATATATGGAAACACAATTTTAAAGTATGTAAAATAAATATTGAATAAATAAAATGCATACCTTATTTTTGGCTGGGAAGGCTTCATGTGAAAAGGACTTCAGTTTTTTATTATTCCTATATGAATTAATATCCTTAACATCATACCAAAGAAAATTCCAACTCATTCACAATGAATTAACTTAGGAACTTTATAAAACTGCTTCTGAAATGTTCCTGGAGTAAACGTGTTTGAAGAACCGGGAGAGACCATGTCTCTGACCCCTGGAAGAACTGGCTGTGCCCTGGCCTGCTGCTGTGCCCTGGCCTGCTGCTGTGCCCTGGCCTGCTGCTGTGCCTTTCACTCTGAAATGTCCCTGGAATAAACGTGTTTGAAGAACCAGGAGAGACCATGTCTCCGACCCCTGGAAGAACTGGCTGTGCCCTGGCCTGCTGCTGTGGCTTTCACTTTCCAGGTCAATCTGTCTTCACGGAAACGCGGCCCTGTGGGGTAGCCACAGTTATGTCCACTGTAGGGATTTAGAAGTGGAAGTTATAAGGGTTAAGTAACTTGTCAAGGTCATGCAACTAGTAAGTGTCCAATCAGGAAGTTGAAGCCAACTCCGTGAATCCATTATGTTTCATCAGGAAGGAGGACAAAAGAAGGGCACATACAGGGACAACACTCACCTCTGGGTGTTCATGGTCATACGAGGCTGGTGTGATGATGGTGTGAATAATAATGATGATGGTGTCAATAATGAAGACGGTGTGACAGTGTGGGGAGAGCAGTGTGCTCAGATACAGGCTGAAGCAGAAAGAGAAACTTACTAGATGAAATAATCGCATCTGAAATCATCAGGAAAAAATATTGGTCCATCAATGATGGTGTGAAAAATAAAGCTGCAACTCTGCATTGCTTTTCATGCTAAAATACATTTGGTGTCAGAGAAGATTGTAATGTAAACAGCAGGCAACCAAAAGGCTTTTGATATTAATAAATAGAGGCCAACAATCAATCTAATTTCATAGCATGTGGAAGACAAATTTATGGAGAATTCACAAAAGAAGAAATATAAATGACCAACAAAGTGTGAAAGACATTTGACTTCATTAGCAAATAATTACAAATAAAAATGACCTTGAATTTGCATTTGCCCTTAGTTTCCCTAGAATAAAAGACCAAAAAAAAGAAGAAAAGAAAAAAAAAACCACATGATAACCTTTCCCATGTTTGTCAGAATGGGAATGAACACTGATAGTTTCTGGATGATTTGACAAAATGTATTAAAATGATCAAAATTTAAAATAAGTTGACCTTCTTTAACATTCAAGTTTGACTCTGCTATATCTAATGGAAAGAATTAGATAAGTCAAAAAAAGATATAAGCACAATAATGTTCATTACAACATTATTTATATTAGAGGAAATTGGAATCGACCTAAATGTTCATCAAAGGAAATCTGTTAAATAAATTAGAGGACATCCGTAGTGTTCAGCTATTAAAAAGAATGATGTAAATCCACATTTGCTGACTTGGAAAAATGTCCATGAGCAAACAAAGCAGGTTGCAAAATGGTCTGCAATACACAGTCCCACAGTCGCATTGGGTGTGAGTGAGAAACACTAAGAATAAAATCTCCCATGCATTGCCTTTAGCTTTTAACAATAAAGAAAATTAAACTTGAGTCTTACCAGTTGGCTCCTTTGATAGTTATGAGCTCTGATACTTCCCTAATGCTGTGGGCCAAACCCTAGTGTTTTTGATGTAAGAAGTTTATTATATTTATTTATTTTGGTAAAATTTATTGTTTTCATCTATTTTTAAAATATACATTTTATTCTTGTTTAAAATATGAAAGTGGTATGCTATTTAGTGCAATTCACTTGAAGTCTGCATAGTAACCAAAAAATACAGTTCAGCTGTAAGCAAATACTCTATTGATATGGAAGTTATAACTTTAATACATATCATGATAATTTATGTAGACATTAAATTCTTTTCATAAAACCTACTGTTTTTCTGGTATAATATTAAATGTGCATAATATGATGATGGCATTTGAAAAACTAAATATGTTCCCTGGGATGCAAATATTGTATGTGCTGGAGTGAAATGATAGCCTGAAAATCAAATCTTTACCGTGGGCCCGAGGTGGAGAAAAGATTTGGACCTAGGCCCTGACCATCCGTACTTTGCACGCGTAGAGAGACAGCTGGGATGCATGTTTATAGCTTTGCTTGTGCAAACAGAGAAGCATGCCAGTCTTCTCATGCAGCAAATCTTATTTCCGATACAAATTTGAAAATCCGTGAAGCATGATAGTATTCACTGTAGGATCTCTGACCTCCCATAAAACACAAGGAGGATGAGGAGTGGGTTAAATGGATTCTAATGATGCCTGTGGACTCGTGCGCTCCCGTAATGACTGGGGAAGATTTATACGCTCTCTCTAGGTATAATTAGACACCCACAAACCCGTCTGACCTGCTGTGGTGAAGAGCCCTTCTGCTTTTTGTTTCAGCAGATGAATCAATACTCGCACGTTCTACCACTGTGGAGTGAAATTGAGGAAATGAAAATCTGATAATTTTGCTCCCAGTGCCGTCTAGACAGAGGAGAGCGGTGTTAGTCTTTGACAGGAAGATCTATTTCCAGTTTCTCAAATGGCTAGTGTCAATTTTGAAACTTCTCCTGTTATTGATTTTCAGTTTTGTTAAAAAGGATGCTTTATTAGGAATATTAGTCCCAGCGACCGTGTAGGCTCATAGCTAGTCCACAAGCAGGTGCACGCGCATTTTAATTTGGGGTCAGGTAAACGCTCATTTTCACTGGGGTTCTGGGTGGGTTTGACTTGCAGATTCTTGTGTTCAGTTCCCGTCAGCCCGTCGCCCCGCGTCGGCAGTCACTGCACTGCTACCTATTAAACGGGAGAGCCAAAGTCGTCCTCTGCGTCTCCATGGATAGGCCTCGATTTTACCAAGGATACATTCATTGAATTATACGTCTGTCCTAAATATCTTAGAATGCATTTGCTGACGTTTTGTAAATATATATTTGCCTGACCACACACTGTTGACATTAGGGCTTGCAAGCTTTTAGATTTTAACATCCTCAAAACAAAGTGTACTGAATCAGCGAAGATATTCCAAGCAAACACCACTGGTGCTCTGCTGGCATTCACTAACAAGCCATCCTACCTGCTCTGAAGTGCTCTGTCTTCTGGGTCTCTCCATGACCCCCCAGTGCATCCTAGACATCCCTTTTCCTGTGGTCTTTTTGGCTTTCCGTGCCCTTCCCCCAATACTTTTTGGAATATTAACTTATTTTTGCCTCTTCCCTAAACTGTACATTCCTTGAGAGAAGAAGCGTTTTGATTCTTCTGAGTTCCTGGACTTGACAAAGTGCCCACTACAGAGCGGGAACTCGGGGCCAGTAAGCAGGGAAAAATGCCCTCCACCTTGCACTGTGGTCTGAGCTGTTCAGCTTAAAGCAGGTATCTGGGT